TTGACCTCAGCCGCGGCTGGTCTTTGGCAGCGTCAGCATCTGATAGAGTCCCGTACTTTCGGGAGCAAATATGGTGGGGACGTGGACGAGTGGCTCAAACATTACGAGCGGTTGAGCTACTACTACTCTTGGGACACGGCAGCTCAGTTGACTAACGTGGTGTTCTTCTCACATGGTATGAAAACCACGAGGACGCCTTCACAACGTGGGAACGCTTCGTGTCTGAAATCAAGGAATGTTTCGGGGACACAGTGGCAAAGAGGAAGCAAGCCGAACAAATGCTGCTGCAAAGAGCCCAGGTCCCAGATAAAACTCGCACGATGTATATCGAGGTGATTCTGAAACTATGTGAGACCGTTAACTCTTACATGCTCGAGGAGGACAAAGTCGGTCACCTGTTGAAGGGCATCGCAGAGGATGTTTATCACTTTCTTATCGGCAAAGACAGCATTGGTACAGTAGCCGATGTCATACGACACTGTCGCACGTTCGAGACGCTGAAGATGAGGCGCATTGCTCCTAAATTTGGTCGATTACCTAATAAGACCACGGTGGCGAGTGTTGACAACTACGCGCCTTCTGATCTTGTGTCTACAATACGTGAGATCGTGCATGAATAACTCAGTCGACACACTCGCGTGACACCTTGCGAAGCTACACCCTTGCCGGTTCCAGACCAGCATCAGCATCCTGCTTCCATTGCTGCAGTAGTAATCTAGGAGTATTGCAATGCTTCTGGCACACTACCACGGCCGCAGCGCAGTCGCACCCGGCACCAGTGCCGTTTCAGTGTTCCTCGACAGCTGGCCGCTGACTTCCAGAACCCGAACGAATACGCACCTGTGTCACCACGCCCTCGCGACGCTTTCCAAAATGCATATCGTCGACCTCCTGCGTGCTACAGCTGTGGTGCTCCAGGACACATTGGCACAGAGAGATGATATCGAGATACGAGCCATCGTCAAGACTTCTTCGCGGTGGTCCCGGTTATGACGCTCCTTGGTGGTCCACGTATCCCAATAGCACCCTACGACAAGAGAGCCGGCTTGGAACCTCCCCTGCTTCTGACCGTAGCTTGACACCTCCACCATAAAACTGTTACGGTTAGATTGAGTTTAACTATGTTTATTAAGAAGAGAGATCAGGCGATGATCGGTGATGATGGTGAACATAGGCCGAACCAAGTAACTTCCGTTTTCTCTACCTTTTTCCCAAAACATGGCCCGGCTCATACCGTATCAATGTGTTGGTTTCGAGACGTTTAACTCTATATATCAATAAAAAGCACACAGACGCTGTCGACGCTCTACTCCTCAACACGACAGCCAGATGGTAGTAAAGGTGCGTCTCACCCGCGTCACTGTCAAATTTCGGAAATCGTAAAGTGAGCACCTCCTGTATTCTTGCGCAGTCTCCAGTGCGTAAAGCCAACGTTCAATACATACCGGAGACGCGTCGAGAAACGTATGTTGCATGCGCAGTCCTACGTGAAACCCATTCAAGATCTTCGTGACAAGGACATTCCTGGCAAAACTTGTGGTGCACAAAAAAGACATATACAAGGAAAGAGACCCGACGATGCACATCGTTCTGCGATTTCTTTTTTGTATATATCAGTTTGTGCCCTGCAAGTTTAACGAACGATCCTATTCTTACGTATATTTAAAGACAATTCTTTATGTGGCACTTAGAAACGCTTCTTGTGGAAGCCATCCACAACACTTTTACTACATGCAAGAACGCAGGGCTGTTGAAATCGTTGCTAGAAATTATCACACGCTGACGAGTGCATGACAGAATATTCGAAGTGTTGTGGCGAAGGCACAAAGTTTGTGACGAAGCACTGCAAGACATCGAAATTAAACGACTGTCATGGGTCGCCGTCAGTCAGCATGAAGAGAACACTGATATCATCGACGTTATCGTAGGTAGCTAATTGTCACTCAGCGCCTGGGACGTGGCCTGGAGATGCTGAACGTGTCGCAATACTGTTGTTGTCGCAGGGTGCTGAATGCCACGTTGAGCTGTTGCACGTGGTTTGTCTACAAAATAAAAACAAACGTTTCTACTTGATTGACGTTATTGATGTACTACTAACATAACTTTCACCATCTGAGCTATATAGGTAAACACATACATCGAGCTTGAAGTGTTTTGTCACAGTCTCTTTATTAGAAACCATGGTTCTTCCTTGGTTTTTACCGTGATATCATCCGGCTACTGAACCTAAATTTAAACAAAGGCAGATCTGTGCACCATAAGGCATGACATTCGTCCTGTTTCTTTCTTTGGTGATGTCGGGCTGTATTATCACCACTTGAATCCGTCTTCAAATAAACACTTTCAATTTTTTTGAGCGTTTAATCTGACTAGAAGACTCCACTTGCTACTTTCATATTCCTGAGCCACTTTTTACGGTATTCATCGTATGACATCAGTGTTGCAGTTTACTCCATTTCGTATCGTTTGCCTTGAGTATTTTTGACAATGTCAATTACGATCGTCGCGGAAAATTGCAAGCACACACTGAGTGCCTTTTATATATTACATTATTCCAGCCCGACACCCATGCTAGAGGCTAGCATGGAGTGATGGCGAAGGGGTAGGAGTTGAAGTTTCTCGCGTCGTTAACTTGGGTGCACATCACAAAATGCGGGCGCTCACTCTTGTGTTTCCAGTGTGCGATATTGCACTATTCTGTAACGTCACCCAATTATAGAGCACGACACTGGAGTGAGGTGACACTTCGTAGCAAGAAGCGCACCTCATTGAGAAATCTGCTTTTGGTTCATCTTGCATTAGCCAGTAGTAGCGATCCTCTGTGTGGCGTTGTAGATCTGGCACTGGCCTTTCGAAAAGGGTGAGACGGGTCTCTACATGAAGACGCTCGTATTTGTTGCCCTCGGCTTTCCTGCGTTGCTGCGCCTACTTTTGCATTGAATAGAATACAGCCTGATGCAACACGTTATTATGGTCAGAGAGAAAAGGACAACTTTGCGTTTTGCTTGTAAACGCTCGCTGATGCGCAGAGCTGCAAATTTCTTCTAAGCTCTTGACAGCAGCGTCTTTTGGAGCTGTATGTGCCTGTTAACTAAGCACTGGGGGTGAAGTGAGGTGAAATGAACTTTATTTGTTCCTGAAAAACAAGTTATACAACCCCCTAAGAGGGTCTGCCGCAAGTCTGGCCACGTCCACGCAGGCACTGGAAGACCATGGTCCTCCACCCAATCGCAGGCCTCCTGGACTGCCGAGAATTGAACTGAGAGTTCGGGGATTTTAAGAGCTTTCTCCCAGTCTTCTTCTATGCTGAACTTTGCGCCATATAACGCCGGGCACTGCGAGATTATGTGAGCGAGTGTTCAGTTATGTGCCTCACAACTAAGGCATTCTGGAGTTATGCCATCAGCAAAGTGGCTGAATGTACTACGAGATGGGAATGAACCTGCCTGTAGCATTCGAAGAACCGATGACAGCGGCCGAGTGAGCTTAGAATGCGGAAGCGGGTATCTTCGCCTAGACAACTGATAATTGCACGTCACTTCGTTAAAGGTGCCAATTGGATCTTTAAAGTTATCTGCGAACCCACCTCCGTACCCGCCCGCACCGCCGCGGCATGTGATTTCTCGCGGATGGTTATGGGCAAGTTCGTTGGCGTTGGGAACAGTCGGATGCACCTCGGAGCCCATGTGAACCAGAAACAAGGTGATTGTGTGGTAGCCTACTACACACCTGGAATTTAAAATAGCGGCCGCCTTTCTAGAGATTACCCCCGAAGCAAAGTCCCGGGCGGCAGTCTTGGAGTCAGTAAATATATCTGGACGTGAATGGTCCGTCATCGCCAAGGCTATCACTACCTGCTCTGCTACGAAAGCAGACGTTTTCCTCACGAAAGCTGAGTTCAATACGGGACCGCGATGATCAACGACCACAGCTGCAAAACGATTGGAGCAGCCATACTGCGCCGCATCGACGAAAGCTACACTGCCCATGGACCTTGCCACGAAATAAAGGAGAGACTTGGCCCTTGCCTTTCGCCGACGAACCATGTGCTGTGGACGAACGTTACGCAGAAAGGGTGCCACCTCGTACGTGCCTTTCATTCTTTGAGATATGAAGATCTGTTCCTCCCCTGCCGTATCATGATATTCCAGCGACTGTAGGAGACGCTACCCAGCGTTCGTGGAGGAGAGTTGCGCAACCTGAGCTAGTGTTCGTGCTTCGGTTACATCCGTGAGGGTGTTGTGCATGCCGGGACTCATGAGCCTCTCCGTGCTGGCGCTCATAGGGAGGCCTAGTACCTCCAAAAGGGGGAACATGTTCCGACTAATATTGAGGGTTCCAACCCGCAGGGAAGGCTGAGGGAGAGCAATCTCCTTCGGCTCTTCCATGCATTCTTCATAAGCCACAATATTACGTGGCATCCTCGCTAAATTGGTCTAAACGCGAGGAGGATAAACTCGACATTTTAATGCCTAAAAGCATCAAAGGGTACTATGCATTCCTATGAGCACCAGCACTGTGGGTGATTTAAGATCTACTTAAGCATACGTATCGGTTGACTTGTCGGTTGGCTTAGGAGTTGAGAAAACAAGGTAATAAAGAAACAAACAATTGCCATCTTGAAGTTTTATTAAAGGCTTATTGTTCTGTATATGTTCTTTCTTAGAACAATCGATTGTATTTAGTAGTAATAGACACATCAATATTTATTTTTGGCATGTCTTGTCCATGAAGTCTTATATTGCTGGTACCATGCAGAAATCATTGTTTAGAAACTTCGGACATATTACGTTGCATTCTTTGTAAAGAGAGGCCAATAGGAGAAGCTTGCATAATGCAGTCTCTAAGGCAAGTTCAAAAGTATCAAAACATTTTCTAGCAATAGTGAATTACCAAGCGTGAAATTTTGCAGCGGTAAACGTGGAACACAAATGACTCATTCCCCTAGCTTGTTCCTTGGCCTCGGCTGCCATGATTCATTTTTTCTGACCTCAACGCAGATATGCTGGAGAAGATCTCCGAGGCGTTTGTGCACGTGATCGACAGAGGGCAGCGACTGGAGACGTCAAACTACCTGAACGCCCTTACAAAACCCTTTGTCAGGGTTATCGTGCAGGTGATCAATCATTTCAATTCACTGGTATAGCTTGACTCTTGGGAGGTCACTGTGGAAACTACAGGCTAACCAGGATCGATCCTATTACATCCAATGCCACGCCTTCCGCGTACCATCACGGCAATAACATTTGTATTGACCGAAATGCAAGCGGACACACGAAATACTTATATACAAGCGCACACTGAAGAATTCTAAGCGTAAAAATTGATTTTTCAAAATTAGGATGGTATACTCAATAACTGAATAGATTTAACTAAACTAAATTGGGTACATTCAAAACAAGGATGATATCCTAGTTCGCGATGGTACTTATACGTCTATTTATGTTTATTTTTTACTCTCACCTGAGTCGCACATGTTGATTGGCACTCTTCTAGCTGCTTGTGATGTAACGCCAATGCAAGTCTGCAGCGAGGAGTACTAATTATTAACGAAGCATAGCTGGCATTGATGATGGTTCGTGGCAAAACATAGTCCTTCAACGTATTTTCTAAGTACAAAATTTGTTAGGTTGATTAGAAGGAATTATTTTCATTAAGATTGCTCACTCACATTCTGCAAAGAAGAATGGCATAAATGAACCTGATCATTTCCAACAAACCACGCCATCTTAGTCAATCGGATGGCTCAATTACAATATTTTCTTTCGTGCTGCAGGCACATACAGTCGTTACCTAATGGTAATTACCGTATAGTGGATAGCTAGGAAGATGGAAATGTTGGCTTAATTATTGTTATGTCATACCGGTGTCACACGGGCACTTTTATTCACAATCAGGGTGATTCGGATCGGTTTGGTCGATCGCGATGAACTTTATGGCTGCTGCTGCACGGACCCAGCTAATCCGCTTCAACCTTGGGTCAGAAGAAATGCACCAGGTGGAATTTTCACGCCATAAAATATGTCATTGACAAAACTCAGCGTACGATATTTCAATACAGCCATTTCTCAGCAATGTGTTATTCGTGCACAAATCGCTCGGACATCAAAAACTTTGCGTGCCTTCCACAAAAGTAATTTCATAAATCTGTCCTTCGGTAGAGTTTTTTTTGCACTTACCTGTATCGCTGTGCGAGAGTCCTAATCTTTACTTTCATTTATGATGGCACCTGCTCTTAGTGTCCAGTCGCAGCGAAATGGCAATCCTGTTGTACATGCCAGAGTTTCACTTCTGGTGCCTCAAGTCTCCCAGATGCTCCTGCCAGTGCTCAATTAGTGGAAACGTCTCTTCAATCGACCGCGAAGTGCGCATACGTTGCAACGTAGTCGAAAAGCCGGTGACACTGAGAATCGCTTTGCTTCGAAGTGCTCCAACTGCTCCAATGGTGCGAGAGTTGAACATGTCGTATGTTTTTCGTCTGCTTCTCCCATAATTACATGTGGTCAATACAAAAGCTAAAATATGCGATATTACAAATATGTTTCCATTTGAAACAGTTCAATATTTATTTTAGAAGTAAATATTCTGCTTTTTATATCTGTTTTTACAGAACTATGCTCGATTTTCTTGTTTCTTTGACTTCAACAACCTCGACTAGGGGGAGCAGAAGACACGAAATTGCGATGTCTCAGCGAGATCGCGATGCGCGATCGCAATAGTTTTCATCAAGATTGGGCCTGATCATGATTAAAAGTGACCGTGTAGCAGCCTATAATCCGAATCGAGGTTAATACCGTTCGGCGTTGATCGCGATTAAATTTGCCCGTGTGACACCAGTATTGGCTATCCGCTGTTAGGGAGCGTATATTTTAGTATTATCAATTTTTTGCAATTGAACAATTAAATAGCACTTAGATGGAGAAAATTGATATTAAATGAACTTGGAGTGAAACTCAACTATCAGTATATATTTTTTTCAATAAATAGAAAGCTTTCGCATTATCAGAAGTAACACAAAAAAAGGCAGACACAGAAAATGAGCATAAGTGTCTTTGTTTTCTGCGCTATCTCTAATAACATTACCATACAAACTTGTGCGATGCGCCGTTATGATGTGCTAATGCACGTTGGAAATGGACAATAAATGCAGTAGTCAGTCAAGCTACTTGGTTCTTTCAGCACTTGAGGTGACAGCGCTCTAATGACAGGCATAATAGTAACACTGGTTACAGCACATGGACTGTCATCTTCCTAGCTTTATAGTTTTTTGTTATGACCTTAAGTGTGGCCTATTATCAGAAAATAGTTGAATTTAATGTGTATACCACTTTAAAACCAAATGAATCTTTTTGTTTTTGCTAGCTCGACAACCAAGTAATAAAGGAAATAGCGCTGGGAAAGGACACCAATGGAACAATCCTGAAGCGATGCTGCCGAAAAAATGGCACTGAATGCGTCGGCAAGTGTAAGTAGCCTCGTTCGGTTTATAAGGCCCGATATATACTAACGCTCATCTATATTCACCATCGAAAGTACGCTTACGGCACAAGTTTTCATGAATGTTTGATAAATTACTCTTAGTAGAATGCGTCGGCTCTACCAGCGTCCTTCCATTGAAGAAAAAAATATAGGCAGTTTCTATGTACAGTGAGAATTTGTGAAGCACGAGTCAGGAACGTTGAAATGTCACGTTAAAATTCGCACTACGTTACAAGGTGGACGCGAATTACGCCATATATGACCTCCATGTCATGATCATGATTGCGCCTAGCACTTGTGTTCGTTATTCATTCTTGTCATGTAATGCTAAATTTGGTATATGTGAAGCTAGCGAAACGACCGCGAGCACGCTATGAGCGTGGCACGTAGCCATGTTTTACATGACACGAATACTGTGATTATCATGTTTCAACTTGTCATTTAGCGTCCCGCGTCTATTCACGTCACGTCGTGCCAAATTTGGCATATCAGAAGCTGGCAAAACGATGACACGCATGTCATGATTATTATGTTTGAACATGTCATTTGCCTTCATCGTCGATTCTCGTCATGTAATATCAAATTTGGTATGTGAAACTAGCGAAGCGGCTGCGAGCGCATCATAGACGTGGTATGTTGTCATGTTTTTTCGTGACCCGCATGTCGTGATTATCATGTTTGCACTAGTCGTATACCTTCATCATCCAGTCACGTCACGCAACATCAAATTTGGTATATGTGAAGCTAGCTTATTGGCCACGAGCACACTATGAACGTAGCATGTAGCATGTTTTTATCGCGCTCTAGCAGACTTTCTCGATGCGTGCGCCCCTTTGCAGGGGGAAGTAACTTTTCGAAGTGGTTAGTGCCGCCTTCGAATCAGTGGCAGGCAGCTGCAAAAGGACACCAATCACTATTTAGAAATGTGATTCTGATCAGGCTTAATCACAATCACCAGTGCACCGGGTGCCATAGACGTTCATTTGCACGCTGCGTACGTGCGCATTCAACTCGTTCCTTTGTGATAGCCCAAAATGCGTTGCTTTTAATCGCTTATTTTACGTAAGCTGCCATAGCGCGAAGATATGCGCCTACGTAATGTGCGCTTGTTGCTACCGGCGCCTTCAAGTATTTTTTTTATCTTATCATAATGAAATCATGCATCTCGCCAGTCATTGTCAAAGAATAATTTCTCACTCTCCCTAATTTTTAGAAAGAGATCAACCATCTTTCACCTCTTTCTGATTAACCCATTGGCTTCGCTTGCTGCAACCCGCTGGCCGGGTTGGCAAGGCCAAAAACTGTTTCAACGGTCAATCGCCGGCTGCCTAGAAACTGTTTATTGTTCACACTTTTTATATATGGCAGCACAGCATTTAGTGCTTACCTTTGCTTGGTATGCCCTCCCCTAGATGGGCGTAGTTAAAAAGTTTTGTGGCTGTTTAATTTTTTTTGTTTATGTGGCGAAGGGTGTGTTCTAAGCTTTTTTCAAAATATAATGTCGCTGAAGAAACCCGTCTATCATGACCTCACTAATGCGCCTACAAGCCGCCCAATAGGTTCATTTTAATCGCCACAATCTGGCAAACAAAGCCAAGCAGAATCCATGAAGACTCTGCTTAGTGTGTAAGGCACAGGGCAAAAAGTTCAAGAGCAGATGGAAGTGTGCAAAATGTGAAGTTGTTCTTCACATGTCCGTATGCTTTTTTTGACTGGAACTTTTTTTTACACTCGACTATCCTACTGACGCACCTCGTGCAGTCAAACATTGTTAAACGAATAAAATTAAGTTTGATTTTACCCTTTTGTGCAAGGCACACAACACACAAAGACTATGAAGGGTCATGCGACTTGGGTGCATGCTTTTCATATCTTTAACCTATATAAATAGTTAACCGAGTAGTCCAAGAAGATGCTAATTGAAGGTGTTTACGTGGCTGGCGTAGAAGGTAGCTTTCTGTTGTGAGCAGCTCCAACTGCTTATGTCGCTTTCAAAATAAAGATCACAAACTATACTTCTGGGACCTTCACTTTCACGATGCGAAAACTTTGCATTTCTCTCATGTTTGAGTACCGCTCGTTTTCATACAACAAACTCTGTATCCAGCCACGCGACACTAGTTGGCTGGTCATTTTGGCTTTTGGACGGCATCCGGAGAAGGCATCGTAATGGCGGATGCCATAGTAGGCGACGACGTTGTCTTCACACTGCAAGGCGGCGAAGGAGGGAGCACGCATTGAGGAATGCTATGTTCATTGAGGAACCTTGCGATTGATTTTGTTTTTCTTATGTAGGAGATTGCTGGCCTTTCACAACACCTTTTAAGCCACAACACATATTATCTACCCTGGTTATCACATGTAAACGCTGCCAGCAGAGGAACTGTACATTCATTTACATCACAACTGATAGCAAGCCAATACTGGATGCAAGCATGGCATGGCAAGCCTTCGTTGTGCTCCTTCCTGCTAATTCACTTGAGGCCGCTGCTGGTTCCTACAAGTTGTTTATATAATAGTGTGTAGCTTCCGGTGTTGCATGAACGATTCACAGCAACAGAGCACGTTTGAGTTATTCAACAGTATGAAACGGATAAGTACTGAACATTCATCAACATAACTAAAAAAACTCTTATTATAAAGCAAGTAAATCTGCATGTTTGCTGCAGAGAAACACTTGGTAATACACAGGGCTATAATGTTTAGGTACTTCCTAATGGCGATTACAAACACATATGTATGTGTTTGTACATATTGTCTACTAAGCCTGAGTGTAGTGTTCATGTTGTGTGATGTAGAGAAAGACCCATTCTTTATGAAGCATAAAAACAGAGTACGTACGTTATGTTACGATCATGTGTACCATTATTACTTCACACATTAGTGATTCCGCCATCCTGATCTCACAAATAACAGAAATAAACGTGGCAATTACACCAATACCGCGTATAAAACACATGAACAACCTAATGAAAACAATGAACAGCGATTGCGGGGTCACCGACGCTCGATTCACCATGGCAGCAGCGCAAACAAGTCAAGTAATCTACGGGCGCGGACCTCTGGTGAAAGGGGCTGTCTAACAGCAGTACAAAAGCCCGCAAGACACTGAGTTGTCTTCTACATGAGCACATATCTCGTCGCCTAGGCAGCACCATTCTTCGTACGGCGTTTATTATGCTGTCTACGCCACAAAGTCAGCAAAAAAAGTGTCGTAACCCAAAACCGGCTTAGAAATATCACTCGAATGCCGATTCAGCAAAATTTTCTTCCATTGGACATACCCCCACACTAAGGCTTTTCTCAACCGACCTCAATCAGACTCAAACTCACCAACATTATACTCAGGTGGACTCACTCAAGATTCAGGCTCGCGTCTTTACCAAAGTTTGAGTGCTCCAGAGTCAGTCGACTCACGAGTTCATTATCGTAAAAAAAGGCTTTTGGATTATGCAGTTATTTTTCTTCAACGTCGATATCTCAGACGATCGGGCTTCCACAATATGCGATTTCATTTTGCGGCTTCAAATATAGGTTGTGAGTGGTTTATAGCTAGTGGGAACATTTTCTTTTATATGCGACTGCCACGAGTTGGTATCAATTATTTTTTGGGGGGTGGTGTCTTTATGGCAACCTCCCTTGCTAACTAATGTCTATGATCAATAAATATTGAGGTGACGCACGGGTGTGATAAAGCATTTAGATATGTGTGAAGATACTTGAGAATCACACAAAAAATATGTTTTGTGATTAAGACTCACGCGCATAAGATTGACCAATATTTCCTTTTAACCAGTCTAAGTCATTATACTCAACCAGGCACTCAGCTTGCCTTTCTTATTACACTCACGGGCCTACTGCTTAGGAGTCCGTCTTCATGAGCTTACGCGTGAGTATGCTTTGCCGACATATGTCTACGCCAAAGAACGGGTGTGTTCTATGAGGCAAAACGTCATTTAGAATGCCAACATACCGCAAGAGTTCGTTGACAATCTCTCTTTTTTTTTGCGGAACAGACGCGATTTACTTTAACTCTTAGATGTAAAACAAAGGCTATTGTAAAATGTTGTACAAAACTCAAAAAGCTGTTTTAACAATAATAGGCATGATTTTCAAAGTCTCATGCCGCTCTTAGTCTTTTCATATGTTCTACTTTTGTGAGCATATCCGTGTTGCGAGAAATTTTGCGAAATGTCATGTTAGTGCCCTTAAATTGACAATGGAAGTAAATCAAAAAATTGCTAGAGTAACCATTAAATAAGCAGCGAGCAACCAAGCAATGAGTAGGTATGAAAATGCGTAAAGTATAGAGGGTCAGTACTCTTAACTGAAAGCAAAATGACTCAGCTATATTACGTTTGCTGTGGTGTTTTTCCCTGATGTTGATATATAATTGTAAAATTTATTTGTGATACGTTAGGTATTTGCTTGCCTTTTGTAGTAAATTTTATTGACGTTGTTGTTATTACACTGACACATGCAATCGAGCTGTGAAGAGACACTCCGATGAATCCTGTTACGCAGGCGCAGCGCTATTCAACTGGCTGGACTGGAGCGATACCGTGACGGGAGCCTGCTGCTTTGCGATCGCCGTGCTGACCATCCTGCTCTGTTTCTACGTCCTGGTAAAAGTGCTCACTGGACTCACTCAGAGCCACGTTGTCAAGGTGAGGCCAGTTGCGCATCGTGAGAGCGTGGTGTGGTTTTATTTGCATTGCGATAATTGCAAGTTTTCTTTTCGACAAAAATGTTTTGGTGCAATGTAAGACACCTACAAAAAAACAGGATGGCACTGGCGCTAAGTTCGAGCTGTTTATAATTGCGCCAAATTATTTTTTTTTCAAAAAGTCATCAATTTACCCCCAAAAAACGTTTTGGTAAGCCATTGTAAATGAGTTTTGCAATTTTATTATTATTTGTTCTGTACCCACAGCGCCAGAACATTACAGTAGAGAAGGTGTTTACCGCAAGTCTGCACAGTTCAATCTTTGTAATACATAAACCGTGGACAATCATAACAATCACAGCAGTAGCTTACAACAGATTGACAACATACGTAATTCAAAGCACTATACTTTATAAATGTCAAAAAACACACACACACACACACACACACACACACACACACACTCTCTCTCTCTCTCTCTCTCTCTATCTCTCTCACTCTTCCAGGTCAAGTCACTTCAACAAAATAAAAACAAGTCCTTTGATATCGAAGTATTGCCATGGCAATGTTCAGATAATAATACATACCGTGAAGAAAAAGAAAAAAAAACATACAATAATAATAGGTACAACTATAATAAATACATTACGTCCAAAAAAGATGATACCAAATGAAGATACGGTGTCAGCACCAAACCATGCATTTGAAAAGCATCCCTGATCCAACGTAAGTCACCTGCACTTAGTTTGGCTTTGAATTAGGCCTTTATATCCGTGTATGCACGATTTCGCGTGCAGGTACTGACAGTGTGCGTGAACCGCGAGTACAGTTTCCCAGCGTCCATGCTGGTGGGCTACCTGAGTCTGCTCTTGGGCTGCCTCATTACGTTCGTGTTCCAGAGCAGCTCGGCGTTCACGTCAGCGCTGCTGCCGTTTGCGGCGCTGGGCATGCTCGACCTAGACCGCGTGTATCCGCTCACGCTTGGTTCCAACGTAGGAACCACGGCCACTGGATTGGTGGCCGCCCTGGCGGGCAGTCCCGTAACTCGGGAGCATGCGCTGCAGATAGCCCTGTGCCACACCTTCTTCAACGTCATCGGCATCCTACTCTTCTATCCGCTGCCCTTTCTCAGGCAAGTACTTTGACATCCGCACTTTCTCTTTGTTCCCGGTCTTACATAGTCTACATCAACAACATCTAAGGCTGCGAACTCGCAGCACTGACACTGGCATTCTTTAACAAGCCATGCATATTAGAAGTCTCTGAAACCCTCTTGTGCTACGCATGCTATTGCATAACAGCTATCGGTTATGATGTGATACGTTACTGC